ATGCTGCGGGCGTGCCAAAACATCGGCACACAAGCACATAAAGCTGGGGTTCTGGCCGCCACCCTGTGGAAAAGCGGGAAAGAGGGGAAGTGTTGTTATCACTGTGGTAAGGAGGGTCACTTTCAGCGGGAGTGCCACTCATCGACGGCGCCTGCCCGCCCCTCAAAGAAGTGCCCCAAGCGTCGGAAGGGCTATCACTAGGCTAATCAGTGTCGTAGCGGGTCGGGAAACCGCATGATGGGTCTCCCCCGAACCCAGGGCCAAATGGGGGTGTTTCCCACTCAGACAACTGTTCCTCTGCCTTAAAATCCATAGCTTCCATGAGGGCGGCGACTGCCGGAAGTGCAGGGCTTGATTTGATTATGCAGGAGGACGCTGATTTTCAGTTGCCGGGGGAGGTTTGCGCCATACCTACACAGGTGAAGGGACCTCTCCCTGCCGGATTTGTGGGTCTGGTTCTCCCTCGCTCACACGCTGGGAAACAGGGTTTTTTTGTCATCCCAGGGGTCATTGACGCCGATTACACCAGTGTTATTAAGGTTCAGATGTGGACCCATCTTCCGCAGTCGCTCCCGCGTGGACGGTCAATTGCGCAATTGATTTTAGTCCCCTATCAGGTGCCAGCCGCAGAGGATCGAGCCCGGGGCAGGAACGGCTTTGGATCAACGCTGTCTCAGTTGCCGTCTCACAACACGTCCTCTCCACTTGTTGCTCTAACAATGTTGGTCTGCCCCTCGAAACCTCAGTTAACACTTCTCTTAAATAATGTTCCTTTTACAGGGCTGGTGGACACTGGAGCTGACATTACGGTGATTCGTGATCCGGAGTGGCCAGTCGGTTGGCCAACAGTTCCTTCTAAAGAGTTGTGGGGGATCGGGGGTAGCAAACCCGGGCGCCAAAGTTTGTCTTGGGTCACGGTCTCTAAACCAGCAGGCCGTGCCCTTGCTACAATCCGCCCTTTTGTACTCCCTGTCCACCTCAATATTTGGGGCCGTGACTTACTTGTAAAGCTGGACACCACCCTCGATATTAATATATAATGGCCCAAAATCCTCCCTCACCCACCTTGCCATCCGCATTACCATTGGTATGGCAATCCTTAGAGCCCGTATGGATTGACCAGTGGCCCCTCCCCCTAGAAAAGCTGAAAGCACTTCATTCACTTGTACAACAACATTTGCATGCACAGCGCTTGGAGAGCTTCACTAGTCCTTGGAACTAGCTGCTGTTATTTTGGCCTTTCAAATTTTTGCTGATTGTCCCTTTAATTTGATCGTGGACACCCATTATGTTTATCAGGTAATTGATCATTTACCCCTTGCCCTCATCACCCCTCAGGTCGATGCGGACCTTCTTCACCTGTTTTTGTCCTTACAGTATCTCCTCACCACTCGTAATTTCCCTTATTTTGTTGATCATATTCGCAGTCATACCCCTCTGCCTGGGCTACTCACTGAAGGCAATGCGCGCGCTGATCGCACGTTACGTGGTCAGGTAAATTCCCTTTTTTCTGACCCCATTGAAAGCCATTCCTTTTTTCAATCAGTCTGCCTCTGTTTTGGCCCGACAGTTTTACATTCCTGCTGATCATGCACGTTCTATTGTTCGTTCCTGCCCCCACCGTGCCACTGCTGCCCCTACCTTTTCTTATGCCATTAACCCCAGAGGTACCGCAGCGAATCAGCTGTGGCAAATGGATGTCACTCACGTGCCACAATTCTGCCCCTATTCGTTTTTACATGTTTCCATTGATACCTATTCGGGATTCCTCTGGGCAACCCCACAGCGTGGGGAAGCCACTCCCAAAGTTATTCACCATTTGCTAGCCTGTTTTGCTGTTATGGGTCGCCCGAGCCAGATAAAAATGGATAATGCCCCAGCCTATTGCTCCACAGCCCTCTCCACCTTTTGTGCCCAATGGGACGTCCGTCTCAAACACGGGATCCCTTATAATTCCACAGGCCAAGCTACTGTTGAACGTGCAAATCGCACGCTAAAAACCTTGCTCGACAAACAATTAAAACAAGGGAAGCTGCGTCTCCGAACCTTAGGAGACATTCAGCAACAAATGCATATCCTTTTGTTTACTTTAAATAATTTAACGCTGACGTAGATCAGCAGACCCCCACGGATTGGCATTTTCATAAGTCCGAGGTACTGGAAAGACCGCGTGTCTATTACCGTCAGCTGCCCCGATCCGCAATGGCTGGGCCCAGTGCCTTTAATCACTTGGGGTCGGGGATATGCTGCTGTGTTTCTCCCTGCAGGAGCGTTGTGGGTTCCGGCCCGGTGTGTGCAACCAGCACTGAAACAGCATGGCGTGGCACCAGGGGCTATCGAACCCCATACCGGAGTTTCAGCTGACCTTGGAGGAGAACGCGGTGCCTCCTGGGTTGACAACGGCGGGACGGAAACGGAGGAAGCGTAGCGTCCCAAGCCAGCCCGTGACATGGGGAGCAGTAAAAGCATTGGTCGCCTCGGCTCAATGAAGACTGGCAGCAAACCAACAGCCAGAGACTCCTGAGACTTTGTTTGTGGCAATTCTCGCCCAAATTACTGCTAATTCTGTATTGATTGTATGCCTTTTGTGCCTGCTATTTCCTGTAGGGGTTGGCTCGGGAGCGCTTCCTCCGTTACGGGCCCGAATGACATATAACCTATGGGAAAGATTGGCTTCAATAACAAATGTTACCCACTTTTGTTTATCTGATTTTGTAGCAGCTGAAGAATTGTTAGGTATGTGCCTTATTCCAGTATGTCATCACCCTGTGGAAACTGGGAATGAGATGATGCTCGCTGCTTACACGAACCTCTCTTCCCAGTACTCTAGCATGGCTAATTGGGGCCCAGCCAATTACACTTTACCTTCTTAAGCTTATTTTTTGCTGTTGCTGTGTGCAATGTATTTCCTTTTTGTTAAGGCTTTGTCAAGACCCGCCCTGGCAGGCTCCACGAGTTATGACCTTGTCTGTCCGGGAGTTAATTGGCTTGCAAAAGCAAATTGATGGCTACCATGAGATGGCCGAGCACAAATAAAAAAGAGGGGATGTAGGATTCATACAAGGTTCAGGCACTCGGCAACATTCAGGGCACACCCGGAGTGTTGCGTAGGAGCTGTGCACACACAGCTCCTCTCAAGGGCATGAACCTTGGAATCTCACCCAGATGACATGAACCGTGGGAAGCCTCCCAGGACTGGGCTCAAGGCCCGAGAGCAAGGAATGAGGTAGATAGAAATTGGTAAATAAGAATGTTAAACAAAGCCGCTGTATTCCTTTTATCTGTTGGAGAATGTAATGCGCGGGGGGAGAGAAAGAATAAAGGAGAGGGTGGAAAGCTGACAGGACCAGTCCGTTGGCAGACCAGCCTGTTTGCTTACTTAAAGCTCTGTGCTGTCTTGTATTTGAACCGCAACAGAACCTGTCTGCCTGAGCTGCTGTGGTGTCTCCCAGGAGTTGGAATTTGGGTGCCACATGCCCCCATTCTCCTCCACAAGCCTGACAACCCAACCAGACAACATTCCATGAATGATCCACCACTGTGATTCAGCCAGAGAGGAAATTGGTGTACCATGTGAGTTGTAGCATGGACAGTGCACCCAGCCAACAGAAGAGAAGGGGGACATAAGTCACCTGAAACCCCATAAAGCACCATGGCATCTCAGGAAGATGAGAGATGGTGTTAAAATGACCCAAAAGTTAAATGGTTCAGATTTTCTCCAACAGAAATCTGAAAGATATTGGCAGAAAGAGGTTTCTCCAATGGAAACTTTTCAGTTTTGTAGATGTAACCCTTCTGCCTGTCAGAGTTGGCAGCAACAAGGGCTGAGTTCAATATCTAGGGGATCCATTCCAATAACACAATGCAGACTGGCTCGAGCCCCCACCCAGTGACCTGGGACAAATATATACCACCTCCGCTGGACGCCTCCAAGAGGCAATACTTCCCCTCTCACAAGCACATAGTCTGAGTGTAGCAAAAAGCCTTTTAATAACAGAGAGAAACAATGTGGCATTATGTTGGGGAAACAGCACCAACAGGATTCATAACACTACCCATGAGCAAAAAACCCACCCCAAGCAAATTGGGGCATGCCCTTTCCCTTTGGTTCTTGAGTCCAGCAACCCCAAATCACCCAAAGTCCCAAAAGTCCAATGACCCAAAAGTCTCTGTCCCTGGTCAGGGCAGCCCCAGAGTTCGAAATTTTATCTGCAGAGCTTTACCTCCCAACCTGGGTGGAGATGGCGGGGGGGGGGGGGGGTAAGAGGCACCTTACAGGATCTGAAGCTGACCGCCCCACAGCTCCATAGGCCTTCACTCCACTCCGCTCCGCTCCACCAGCCGCCCCACGAACTGCTTCGCTCTGTCCGCTCTGCGGCCTACAAGCCCCAATAACAGAGACACTGGGGATCCCACAGCAGCCAAAGTGACTATTTGGGCAGCTATGGCCTCATTCTAGGTGGGGTGGGTGTGCCTATGCAAATGAGATCGGCCCCTGAAGTTCTTTTCCACAATTTGCCACCACCAGATGTCAGGGTGGAGCTCATCCTGACACTGCTTACATAGAAACCACATTTTCCATCAAAAATCATTGACAGAAGATTCCATTGTGGACCAGATCCTCATTTAGTAGAGGTCACTTTTGACGCCACTTGTCAAACCAGCATAGCTCCATTGAGGACTTGGGCCTGCTTCTCAGTGCAAGGTTGAGTGCCAAGCAGCATGTTCATGGCCAACTACATAGGGAGAGATATTGTGTCAATAGTATGTCATTGAGCACTTGCAGTTAAAACTCCCTCCATTTTGTGAGATTACCATTACATGGTGAAACTGGTAAATTAGGGAATCTCAAAAAGATAAATGTCTTCTAATTTGAAAGACTCTAAACAGGCCAGCAGCTACTGTGGTCATATTAGAAATCTCCCACTCCCCACCCAGAAAAGGTATATGGGAACATACGCTACATCTCTGCTTCAGTCTCAACTCGCATACATACTCACATGAGGGTCATTCTGCTCTGTAGCCAGCTTATGCAAGTCCAGCAGGGCCTGGTTCAGAGTCTTCTCCAGCTGGAGGGCACATTGCAGAGCCTCCAGGCTGTTCCCCCACTCATCCCACTCTGGCTTCTGCACAAGCCCAAACAGAAAATTATGTGCCCTTTCACAAATGGCCTTCTAGCTTCACTTAACTGAAGTCTGTGCCTTCTGTAGTATGCAATACCTCTGTTTGGCCAAGCCCCACTGCTTCACTTTCTATCACCCATGTGCTTCACTGGCACAGGGAGTTCACTCCCCTCACTGGGCTTTTGTTTAACTTGTTTTCTTAGTTATTCCTACTTAAAGATATATCCTCAATGCTGTATCAGACTGTGGTAACACCAGTTAGAGCTAAAATTTACTCAGGCTGGTGTGCTGCAAGCGTCTTGCACTGGTAGACCCGTATGACTATCAACTTGGCAGGACATTTACCTTGGTTTTCTCGTCCAAACACTTTCCTCAAAACACCGCCTCTTTACCACAAAGATTAGCGGATGCCAGCCACCCTTCTCCTCCAAGAAGAGACACGAATACACCTATTTCTGAAGCCCATACCTCTTGTCAGAAAGCTAGGCAAATGGGTCAGACAGCTCTCTAAATATTTGGCTGTTACTTTAGCTCATCGGTCACATTCATGTAGGAGTCCATCAATTACAGCCAAAAAGTATACCTAAAACAAATATTTAAACTCCTTAGTTCCAGAGATCCTTCTCTTACATCCTGATTTGTTTCTCACCTTTATGTCCTGCAGAATAATACGTCCTCCTCGTCTGTTCTGGTATTTCAGGAACTTCTCTGCATGTTCCCTTTCCTTGTGGGACTGCTTCCTCTGGAACTGGGCCATGTGCCTCAAGGCCAGTTCATCACGGTCAAAGTAACAGGACTGGGGAGAGGGACAGGAAATCAGTGGAGGAAATTAGACCTAAAGGGAGAGACTATATATTCAGATCTGTCATTAGACATGGATCCAGGTGAGGCACGAGTTGTCAGTTAAATGTTCAGCTACCTATTGAATGCCATGTGTAATAAGGTGTGTACGCAATGGACATTGTCTGAACACTAGTGTAGGAACTGCCTGACTCTATAGCCCATCTAATCCAGTATCTCGTCTCTGACAGTAGCTAGCATCAGTTACTACAAAGAAAGGTCCAGGGACCCCACATTAGGCACAGGTGATGCAATCTGCCTCCCCATGGATGTCTCATCCTAAAACTAATAAGAAGAGATTTGTTTAAATGCTGAAATATGAGGTTTTTATCCATTCCAAAACTTCTGTATTAACTGTTTCAAACTCTAGGTATTCTTGTTATCCATATAACCATCCAATCCCTCTATGAATAATAATAAATTCTTGGCCTTGACAACATCTGTGGTAATGCATCCCACAGTCTAATTACACATTCAGTGAACAAATACAGCCTTTTAAATCAGTTCTGAATTTGCTACCATTTGTTTTTGTTGAATTATGTCCCCCATCTCCATATAAGAACACTCTGAGCTGCTCATTGAGCAGATAGCTTCATCGAGTTATCCACAATGCACGCAGCCACACCATTTTAAAAGCAATTGAAACATTAAAGTGCAATAGGCACATATATTCTTAAGTGATTATACAATGGGAATTACAGTGACAGCCCCTTCCCTGCTACTCCCTCAGCCACCTCAGATTTAGAGCTCTCTTTTCCCTACTTCCTCCTTCACACTCTGGCCAACCACTTGCTTGGAAGTGCTGAATGGCCACAGTGTAACATGGGAGATGTAGTTCTCTATTTCAGACTCCCAGGGTGGAGCTCAGGCAGATGCAGGTCATTGTCAAACCAACCTGAAACAAAACATTTTGAGTGTCCAGGCAAAATGTTACAGTGTTTCCTAATTGAGGCTTTTTGTTCTACAAAAATCTCACAGTTTCATCCTAATTCAAGACAAAAAACAAATGTTGAAATATCAGTTTCTCCTCAGAAGAATAAAATTCTCATTTTCAAAAAGGCTTGCTACCTGGTAACTGCATACTGCTACATAGTAACAATATACAGTTCAAATCTAAACTACACTTGTAACTGGATAGTATTTCCCCTCTAAATATGTGTGAGCGCCCCATGCCAGAAAGTGGTGCTCAGTTTTGAGCTGCATATTTTTCAGAAGTTGTAGGAAAACTAGCCTGAGTGGAGTGTAAAGCAATAAGTATATTGGGGGGACTAGATTAATTAAATTAGAAATATTAGAAGGGCTGAATATCTACAGTTTGCTTTAGAGAGGACCAAGCTAGGGCAGACAGACATAGCAAGTCTATAGATATTTGACAAGTATAGACATCAAGTACGACAAGACATTTAGGCTGGTGCCTTGGAGGATAGCTAGGAATTATGTACAGACATAGACTGAATATCACAAAAGACTTTTGATAAGATTTATTAGCCTGTGGAAACTATGATTTAGGGCTTTGAAAGCTGTACAAACTATCCACCAAATTTAAAAAGATAGAAGTATGATGAGAAACCATCCTGATTTAGCAGAGAGATCTAACAGGTCTCCCCCCCGCAGTACTTTTTAAAAATTAAAAAAAATTTAAAACAAAAAAACAGCTTCTAAATTTTGCCCCAGACAGCTGCAGTTCAGAGCATTGCTCAGGAAAAGAACTTTTAGAAGTGCTTCTGTTTTAAACCATTAAGCATACAGCCAGCACTCACCATAGAGAGATATATATAGCTAGCATACAGTTCCAAGTTCACATCTGACTGATGGCAGCCATGCATTCACGATGAAAGTTTTGACGCAACTGGGACTCCATTACACTACTACTCATAGCTAGATATAAATTTCCGTATAAACTAACAATTTAAACACCACTGAACCCAGAGTTTGGGTTATGTTCCACATCTGGCATTAATACTCTTCAGAGTAGGATGGGTGTGCTTGTCATGGGCTCTCCAACCAATTGAAATTTCACCCCTCAGCCAAAAACCAGTCAGCGTTCTGGGGATGGTTTGTAACAGCATTGCCCCAGCTGAGTGGATGATTCAGAAATACAGAGCACCTGTTGTCCTGTAACTTTAGGGGTTTACTGATACTTTCTTAGAACAGCAAAGTCACTAAAGGAATCTCTGGTTTTCTTGCACTGAGTCCAAAGAAAGGGAGTTAGTAATTACACCCAATTTCCCAAGGAAGAAGTGCTAGCATGAGAAGTTTGAAGGAATTATGCCTGTAATGAAATGTCTTATTGTTTCCAATACTATCTTTTGAATGGTGTCAAGGTTACTTACCTACCAGAAAAGCTGTTTGATAATCTGCCTATTATATAGAAAGCTCTGAAGTCCTACTTCCCCTGAACCACTTAGTTCAGGGGTCTAGATCTGGAATTTTGGATTGACCCATTCTAGAGTGGAGCCAGCTGCAACATCCAGACCCAGATCTGAACATCCTCAGAGTTCAGGTATTTTTGGATGTGGGGTTTTGGTTCAGACCCACCTCTAGTTTCTGTAGGTTCAGATCAGCTGATGTCTGTCACAGAACACAGAGCAGTGATAGAGGGGATATCAGAGAGTAGTGATGTGAAATCTGTGGAAGGGACAAAGGAAAGCAGCAAAAACAAGAGGAAGTGGCAGAAACAATCAGGAACTGCTGAAACACTAGTAAGAATCTGATGTAGCTGACAGGAGCATCTTCAGAACACAGAGGAGTAAGAACAGTCAAGACACAGAAGGACAGGGAAAAAAATCAAACTGAAGTGGGAATAAGAAGAACGTGCCATGATGTGACATGTGCTAATGCATTTGTAAATATCAGTAGTTTAAGTAAGTAGAAGTGTAGTGGCCACACTGGGTTCACACACTGGGGATTGAATTGGAGAACCTCCAGAACTTAAAAATTGAGCGACTACAGTTTGAGTTTAAAAGCTAAAGCTTTCTCAGTGCGGCTGTAACAGACTCATATCCTCTATGAAAGGGACACTGTGCAGACCTGTAACACACGCTCACCTGGGGGTTACATGGCTTTGTTTGTAGTTCTTGATATTACAGATGAGTTCTTCAGAGGGTACGCTCTCTTTTTGGATTTTCTGATGGTCGCTGCAGAAACAGAAACATCCATGGCCAATTTTCTAAGAACACCAGAAAATGGAGCTAATGGATCTATTGGAGAAAACACACTCCAATATATTTTTGCAAAAAAAGGCACCAACTCAAGGAACCCTCATTTCATTTATAAAAACATTTTTATTTATGTGTATTATGCATATGCTGGAGAAATTGTTCACCGGGCACATGGTGCCATTGGATTCATTCTGCACTGTAATTTCCTCAGCTCCCCACTATTTGATTTCCTTTCTCAGGAAACATCCGTTCACCCAATAAGTCCAGGCCTAGTTTTCAGGAACAAACTCTACAGAACTCACTTAAACAATACAATTCAGACTTCTATTTAAATAGGTTATAGACCGTGTGAAGTAAACAGCTGGGTGGAAAAACTCAGCTGCCTACACAACCCTCATTTCTCCCCCAATTCTTACATATGCTTTGGGGTTGTATGATTACATAAACCTTGAGTTTATGCCATCAGAGCCTCAGAACTTCCACGTCCCTGGAGTTAATCATGGATTTCCCAGAATTCCATCATGTAAGGAATTCTCCCATATGGAGTTAATAGTACTTGTCTTTCTATTAAGAGAGCTGGATGTACAAGTTACTGTAATTCTGTGTTTGTTGATGTATGACTTTGATACAAGCCATTAGCAGAGGAGTTTTTTAGTCAGTGTAGTTCTCCTCAACAGCCTAAAAGTGTCCTTAAATAGCGATTGAAAATGAGCTGAGTTTGTTTTGTATCCTGAAAGATCTCACCCAACAACCTCCATGTCCTTACTAAAGAGAGCACACCTGTATTCACTTACATGCTTACACCATTAAGAGCTACTAATCAAAGAGTACTAGCCCTAACAAAACTTGTTATCCTCAACCAAACATCTTTACAAGAATTTTCTTTTTGTCACATGTCTACAATGCATTGTACTCTCTATTTTAGAATACTAAAAGAAATAAGGCCTTACCACTGACAAGTAGATATTGCTAGCATATAGCTCTAGGTTCACTATGTGATTAACAACAGCCTCACACTCAGAGTGAAAGTTCTGACACACCTGGGAGTCCATATCTCTGTCTAAAAAAAATATAGGTATAAAATACAAACTTAGAACCTGTTCTAACACTACTGAATGAAGAACACATCCCCAGAACAAATGTAGATGCCTCTACCCTAGCACAGCTGGTACTAATACCATCCCCAACAAGGTGGGAGTGTGACTGGCAGCTACTGCCACCCAATGGAAATATCCTTCTTCATCAATGCCACTCAGCATTGTGGGTGGGGCTATGACAGGATTTCCATTGAGGAAAAAAGGACTCCACTGTATAGTTAGCTTGTTACAATGACACGGCTGAGGAGAGAAGGACCATATCAAACAGAATGTTCTCTGGTTTCTTGGTTCTTTTTTAATGCATTATGCAGGTAATGATTACAAGTCACCTAATAAATGTATCTGCCCACAGTGGGCTGCAATGAGATAACTAAAATGTAGAGCGTGGGAGTGTGCATGGCGTTTTTTGTGATATTTCCGAGGCATCCATACAGTTCCTCTATATGGTTGGTAGTTCTCTGAAACTTTGCTTCCCTGTTGCAGTGGAAGCTCTGGAGGGTCTTCACTGTTAATTTAGCTCTCCCTACAGTAAGGCCCCTTACACACTCATGCCCTGGGGTCATGGACGGTCCACAACCTGATGACAAAAGGGACAGTTGGCAGCTAGCATGCCAGAAAACTAGAGCAGAGATAAGTGCTGGCAAGACTCCTTAAATTCTCTAGTAACTAGGATGATGGGGGAGGAGACAGTTAGCAAGTGGGTTTAATCTTACCCTACTACTTGCAGGAGAGGGACATCTGATATGGCTGTGATGTTAGATGTGACATTGGGGATGGACCATATGAGGATTTAAGGTAAGTAGGAGATGAGAGAAAGGTGTCATATTAATAGCCACGACAGAAACATTTATATATAGTTTTAATAGATACCACCCATCTGGGATAGCAGGGTTTTGCTGGTACTAGCGCCCAAAGACAGTGTGGGAGGAACGGGCCTGGTATTTCCAAATCTGAAAGTTCAGATCCCCCTAACGGAGCACAAGCAACAAGATGCATTTACTCCAGTCTGTGTCAATCACTTGAGCAAAAACCTTTTGAGAATGTTTTCCTGGTTCCATCCATTTGTAATGTGTCTTGGTTTCTGTTGGTTTACTGATTCTGTAGAGTATGAGGTTAGGCAGGCACAGGATAGTAGACTAGCCAGGAGCTAGTGGGAATTATTTACATATATTGGCTGTATTTTTTTAACCATTTCTGAAATAAGTATCTGCTTTCATGAAGTGAGTAACCTGAAGAACTAAAAAGACAGAAAGCTACAATATATAGAATTTAGCATAGCAGAGAACAGTACAGTTTGATATTAGCATATACACTAGGCAAGGTTTGGCACTCTAGCACCTTGTTCTCTGTAAGGTCCCAGAGCAGCAAACACATTGAACTTTACTAAGTGACAGTGAAAGCAATAGAAGTACTCCTGGTAGTAAAGTTAAGCACGTACGTACGTGTTTGCAGATTGGGGCCTTCATCATAACTCACTGGGGGGAAAAAAAAAATCTGTGCTTTGGAACTGAAAGTCTCCATCTTTAGTCTTAGCCCAAAAAGTGGGTTTCCATTTTCATGGAGGGAAGAAGAGTGGGGAGTTCAAGGAAAATGCCCATTTCCTTTGTATTATGGGACATGGAATAAAAATTTAAAATTATACACAAAATGTTAAAAGAGACCCAACTTTCAGACTTGGGTGCCTAAATCTGTACTTTGGCCTCAATCTTGCAACAAGCTCCCCTATCTCCACCCACAACCTCATGGACCTCCATGGTATTCTACATGGGTAAAAGGATTCACCAATGCAGGAGTGGGAACTTAAATACATAAGTTGCCTGATATTCCGGAGTACTGGCCATCTACAACTCTCTTTGGCATCAAGACATGAGCCATGTACAATTGAAAATTACAGCCCCATGTTTTATAGATACTCATGAACCCAAGAAGAATTTTTCACTGTGCACACACATCCTCTTGAAACAGTTTAAACAACCTCCTGTCACCATAGCCAGCATTGTGCTGGCTGTGGGTATACATTTGACCCAGGAAGACAACACACACAAGTGGGATTTGATTGAAGTTCTACTTTGAAGATTTCTTTTGAAGAGACAGAATATTAACTGAACAAAGTAAATGAAACCAGAACAGCCACAAAGTGTGATCTAAAGGTTAATAGCAATAAATCATATTATCAAGAGATCAAACACTTTAAGAAATAGAAGACAGCATTCTATAAAAGTCCATAAGGGATAGGATAGAAATTCTATATATAAGTGAAGGGAGTATGAACAGCTAGTATAGTTTTACAGCCCAGTTACGTTTATTCGTTAAATTAACCCAATAGTGATTTTAAGTGGAATGGGGACTTATGGATTATCTTCCAGCTTCTTCAATCCATGTCCCTTCTTCACTCCACCCTATTTGCCTTGTAAAAGGGAACTACAAAAAATGGATTCACTTCTACCACTAAGAAGTCTATTTCCACTTATTGCAATAATTGCACTACAGCACACTGAGTAGGGAAACAAGAAAGTAGTAACAATGAACCAGGTCTGAGAGAATGAAACTACAGTAGGGATACTACATGCCCACCAAAAGCACGGTCCCAAGGACAATCCATGCAGCTATTGACTTCCCCAGGGTTATACTGAGCAAGAAGGCCCTTCTTGTAGCTATACCCTGTAGAACATTTTCACTGAAAAAAAAAAAAACCCACACACACCACACTTGCTTTATTTCATGAAAGCAAATGGCCCCACCCCTTAACCTACAGAAACCAGAGGAAGTTGTTCTTTCAGAAAGGCTCCTGATCTGATCCTCAGTGCACAGCAGAAGATAAACAGTAACACACATGAGGCCTAACAAACTTTTATTAAAAAAAAGAAAGTATGGTTCATTTAGATGAGTGGAAATAGGTCTCATCCAACCCAGGAGTGCATTTAAAGGATGATGGCCTAGTGTGGAAGGAAAGTGAGGGGGTAGAGCCCAGAAGCAGGAGAGAGACAGACTGCCCCAGGGCAAGAATTGTAGTTCCTACTACCACAAGTCTATGCTGCAGTTAGATGAGAGTCTCTCCCATCTCTTGGGGAGACAGTCTCTCAGTGAAGATGAGCTCCAGCCAGTGCTGTACTTCAACAAGATAAGGCCCCATCCTGCTGTGGGTTCCAGAACAAATATCTGATGAGGCTCAGCACCTCCCTTTGCTGCTATGCCTGTCAGGTTTCCTTCTGAGGAGGTTGGGGGGGGTTAGAACTCCTTTGGAGGCAATGAGTCCCAGCCCACCCCTTCACTGAGTCAGATTCCAAGACTATAAAGGAACCATTGTGATCATCTACTGTGGTCTTCTGTAGAAGACAAGCCCAAGAACTTCCCCAAATTCCTGGTGCATCTCTCTTTTTCAAATCAAGACCCAATATCTTCTAGAAGTTGTCAGTGATGGAGAACCTACCACAACCCTTAAGTTGTTCAAGGATTAATTATGGTCACCATTAAAAGTGTACACCTTATTTCCTGTTTGAATTTGTTTAGCTTCAACTTTCAGCCATTGCTGTGCCTTCTAGAGGTATTGTGCCAGCACCCACCCCTTCCTGCATTTGTCTTTTAGGGTAGGAGTGGACCTGAGTAACAGCTACAAGTGGCCTCACTCTGCAACAGGTGCCCAGGAGGTGAGGTGGTCCTTCACCAGAATACACCCTTTTAATGCATAGTTAGGGCAGAGAACATAGGTTTCCACCAGCCTACCCTGGTCAGAAAACTGGAAGCTGTTGATTTGTTCCATCTAAAAATCAGAAGGGGCAGGTGTCCCTTCTTGGTATATAACCAGCTGTGCTATTCCAATACAGCCCTGATACAAGGCCTCTCAAACACTGAGTGACCTGCCAGATTCTGGTTTTATATGGAGGACACTAGCTAAAGTGCTACAAGACTTTGCAAGGAATGTGGAATCTTCCCTCCATCATCCCCCATTTAGGTTGGGTTTTTTCCTGGTACCTTAAAGAGTATCATAAGGGACAAACCCTGTATTTTAGGTCATTTCCTGGAATTAGTTTGCTTTGTACTAGTTCCTAGGGAAACTCTTCCTCTTCAACACTGCTCTCCCAAATGAATGTTGCCATTTGTAATCCAAGCACCATCATTCAAACCCACTTAGGAGCATTAAGTCTCCACCCCATTTTCTGCTGCCACCACTACCCATAGCCAGTCCCACTCCTGGGATTTACATTTCTATTGCTGGCAGATCCAATTAATACTACATTCACAGGGATTCCTCCTGATCTTCTGAAAGAGGAGGTACACACACACTCTTGCTAAAAATCTGTGGAGGTAGACTGCATGAATAAATGCCTCACAGGGTCACGTCTGTTGCTGTATAGAATGTTAGTTGAATTTCTTGGTCCCTCATTGTTGTCACCTTATGCCCTCCCTTGCTTTGTTCCAATACAATTTAGAGCATCCTATATATGCCAGTGAATGCCATGTTACAGCCAAAACAGCTTGTATTCCTCTTTATTTTGAGCTCAGGTAATACATATTCCTTCTAAACACAAGAACCTGCACTGCATTCAGCTGCTCTCCCCCAGGGTGAGCTTGTCAAACAGGTACTCTCCCATGCCATTCTGGGGCACTCCCAGGCGCTTCAGGTTGGTGACATGGTCTCCCAGCTGCTTGATGGCCTTCACCTGCTCCTCCAGGTACTCAGACTCCAGGAAGTCACAGAGCTAGGGGAAAAAAAGACAAAAGGGTTGGAACAATCCACCTCCACTATAAAAATGGAGATAACACATTCGTCTCAACAAGTCAATATTGAGAGACTCCATAGTCCACTTGGGGCCTGGAAAGGAAGACAGCATGGAGCCCCCATTGCCAACTTCAGCTTTGAGGAAGTCACTAAAGTATGGGCAAAAGAAATCCATTCCCACCATAGTGGAGAGTGTAGAAGAATGTGAAATTAGCTTACTCAGCTGCACCTGATCTGCAATGGTCAAGCACCAAAAATGAGGGAGCCACACCAGAGTTTTAACAAGCTTTATGCTACTAAAAGTTAACATGGAAGAGTATTGTAAGCAAGGCAAGGAATAATTCCTCTGCGCTTATTAGGCCTCAACTGGTGTATTGTGTCCAGTTCTGGCCACCACATTTCCAGAAATGTGGATAAGTTGGAGAAAGTCCAGAAGAGAGCAACAAAAGTGATTAAAGGTCTAGAAAATGTGACCTCTGAGGGAAAATTAAACAAACCCAGTTTTTTCAGTCTGGAGAAGAGACCACCAAGAGGGGCAACAGCTTTATGTACTTGAAAACTGCTGTTACGAGGAGGAGGGAGAAGAATTGGTCTTCTTAACCTCTGAAGATAGGACAAGAAGCAATGGGCTTAAATTGCAGCAAAGGAGGTTTAGGATGAACATTAGGAAAAACTTCCTAATGGTCAGGGTGATTAAGCACTGGAATAAATGGCCCTAGGGAGGTTGTGGAATCTCCATCATTGGAGATTAAGATCAGGTTGGACAAACCTGTCAAGGATGGTTTAGATACTTAGTCCTGCCTTGAGTGCATGGGACTGGACAAGATGACCTCTCAAGGTACCTTCCAGTTCTGTGATTAGTAAAGAAATTCCTATCAGTACTGCAAGGTAGGAAAGATACTGTAAAGTTGTCTCATGCACATGGCATGAGACTGCACAAGCCTTTCCCACCCAAACATCAAGGTAAGAGGGAGAGAGAAGAGCTGGTAGTTCAAATCTGTCTCCTCTGAGCCATACACCTGCATTTCCTTGTGCTTTATTTCTATTGTGGCAACACTGAAGGACACCAACCAGGGAGCAGATGCCCACTGTACAAAGAGTCTGCTCTCATAGAATATCAGGGTTGGAAGGGACCTCAGGAGGTCATCTAGTCCAACCCCCTGCTCAAAAGCAGGGCCCTCCCCAATTAAATCATCCCACCCAGGGCTTTGTCAAGCCTGACCTTAAAAACTTCTAAGGAAGGAGATTCCACCACCTCCCTAGAGGCTCTGATGGTCTCTTAATTTACAGTTAACCTAGTACTCACATGGGGGTCACTCTTCTCAGTAGCCAGCTTGTGCAGGTCCAGTAGCGCCTGGTTCACAGTCTTCTCCAGCTGCAGGGCACATTGCAGGGCCTCCAGGCTGTTTCCCCACTCATCCCGCTCTGGTTTCTGTCAAGGCAACCATCCATAGAAGACAAGACATCCCACTGGTCTCATTTCTGACTCACAGATAGCAGGCTCCTTTTACAATACACTGCACCATTTCTGAAGAAACTCAAGCTATGTTGAGCTTTTTATTTCTATGAGTTACTCCATTACTTAGCAGGTCATGTAGGGGAAAGGTAAGCCAAACTCAGGGCCAGTTAAGCCTACTGTAGGATGCTCTGCCAGAGCTGCTTACTCCTGATCCACCACCTCCCCAACTGTACTACTTATGACATTCCCTACCTCTACCTTCATCACCAGAGTGTGCACTGCAGGAGAGTGGGAGCCTCAAGAGGCCTTAGAATGCAGCTCCACTCAGATGCTTTTGAAGAAACATGATTGCACAAATAAAGGTTAGTCGTCTTTTAGAGGAGCAAATAGACTACAAATCCATTTGCCACTAGTAACATGCAGAATAACCCCCACCTCTAGAGTTTGTCATCAGCTGCTTTCTGGGTACTCACTGAAATATTTATTCACCTTGATATCCTGAAAGATCACTTGTCCCCCTCGCTTGTTCTGGTAGGTCAGGAACTTCTCTGCATGCTCCCTCTCCTCATAGGACTGCTCCTTCAGGAACTTTGCTATGTGCCTAAGGGCTACATCATCACGGTCAAAGTAGTAGGACTAGGGAGAAAGTAATGCAGAGGATATTTTCCTTGCAGTATCTCAACTCCTTGTGAGTAGTTATAAAGGGGAGGAATCTTGTGTGCATCCCATATCACCACCTTCTGCCCCAGAAAGTTACAGGATTCCAAATCAGTCTGTAATAGCAATCAATCACCCCCACAACCTATAGAAAGGTGTTAGGTCTTTGAATTTTAACAGTTACGCTACATGAAAGGTGATGTAACACCTGCACATGATACACTTCTCATACAGCACTTCACTCCGAGTGAAAAATTCTGCAACATGCTCAGGTGAAAATGTCTGTTTGTTATTGAGATGGTTTACAGCATCAATGGAGTTGTCCCATTCCCACCTCCTCTTTCATTTTGCCACTACTTCCACCAAGGTGTCTTTACTGTTGATTTCAGCATTCTAGAGTTATCTAAAAAGGAAGTAGCTGCCCAGAATTCTAGAAGAGGGACAATTAGAGCCCTCACCACTCAAGAAAGAGTAAGGTTGCTTGCAATAAGATAAATACCTTGCTATTTTTTGCTCCCTTCGGCAATCAGAAGTTAGTAACCTTAACATTTCAATTGCTATTAAGTTTGAAGGAATCACATGGGGAAATATACCCTCTTTTGAAACCACCAGCACATTAGAAACACACTTCTCCAATAAATTACAGCTACAAGATTAGAGCCCTATTCAAGACAAAATTGTATATGATTTTAAGACAAAGCTACTCACCATAGACAGGTAGACATAGCTGGCATACAGCTCCATATTCACCATGCGGTTCACAGCAGCCTCACAGTCAGCATGGAAGTTCTGACACACCTGGGACTCCATTTCCCTACCTCTAAGGTATAAAATACCAACAGAAAGATACTCTACACAACCACTATTGAAGCAAGAGCTCAACCACACAAGGACATAAAAGCCTGTCTTAGAGCACCTGGTATTAATACTGTTCTGAGAAAGACAAAAGTATGACTGACAAGCTGCTGCCATCCAATGGGAATTTCCTTTCTCACCAAGGACCCAATCAGCATTGTGGGTAGGACTATTGCTGAATTTCTACAGGTGAAAGAGGTTATTAGCCATAAGACACACCTCAACAGTTGTTATGAAACCCTTGAAAAGCAGGGAGCAATGGATACACTCCGAGAACAGCCCAATTGACCCGTTTCTTTATTGAGAAAAATGTGGCTCACTATCACTTTTATAGGACTCAACAATGCCCATTTTGCCCTAAATGGGAAGATGGTACAGAATGGAGAACTTGAGAGACTAATACCTCTGATCCACCTAGCTTAACATTATGTGCAATATTTTCTTAGGTATATCAGGGCCTACACAGAAGCTCCTTGAGCTCAGGAAGTACGGGTTGCTATGGCTTGTTATATCAAGAGCTCTGGAATTCCCGCCGTGGCATCATGATCTGTCCCCATATCCCAAAGTCGTGGCATAGTAAATACTGCTGCAAGGACAGAAAAGGGGCATCTGAGCGAAAGAAAAAAAGATTTGCAGAGGCCAGGGGAATACAAAAGGGAATCACAAGATACAGACACAAGAAGCATGTCCTGGAAAATGATAACATCATGAAGGCAGGATGGGACCAATATGTAGAGAGGGATGTGGTTTGGGGCATTTGGCTCATGTCAGCACATCCTGTAGGGTTCCTTACAGGTCCATGTTGGCACTAACAGTCCAAGAGCAGGACCCACTGCCCAGATGTACATCTTGAGGTTGGACTGACCTCGCTTCAAGCAATCTCATCTCCTTTTGAGTGATGTATGCATGAATGTTTTGGAAACACTCAAATGGCACAACAGAACTGGCCATCTATTTGCTTTACGATACGGAGTTTCAAATTTCTTTACCATAACTACAGTAAAGCAACATTATAGTTAACATCCTGCAGTCCACAGTCAGCATAGTTATGTGTTTTTCTGCATAGCAACAAGGCAACTTTTTGTCCATTTATCACAAAGGCAGCACTAGGATGGCTTTACATCCTACTGCATTTGGCCTTCATGTGAAAGGCAGCACACACAGACCAACTGCTTGGAGAAAATAAGTTTATATTGTGACAAGCAGATTTAAATCTTTACCATTGTTTGGTCTGGGTTTTTTTTTATATCTATACACACACACACACATCAATTAAGAAAACAGAGAACAAACACTTTGTATTAACCACCTGGGTTGAGGTTTTCAGTGCAGTACTGCTTACGGGGCAGCAGGCTGCATGCATATCACTATATCCGGTTTCACCATGAGGCGTTTTTGAGTCTCAGCGTGGTGGAAACTCTGCTTGGCTGGAAGGCAGTTCTACAGTTTGCCCAAGCTGTACAGTATTGTTAGCATCTTTGAATGGGTTGGTAATAAGGAAGTCCTCTTTTCCTGAGGGTGGATTAAACCCTCCCAGAAGTGGATAGAAATGAAAAGCTAGAAGATGTGTCTTGTCTTTAATCTGTCTTGAGAAGAAGTCTGGAACACAAGGATGGATCCCTTGTCAGATATGGGCAAGTGGACCCTAGCATGCGTGCTAAGCAGAGGGCTGTTGTCTAGCCAGCCAAGGAACAATGGGAGAAGCCTGTGTACGGCAGAGCCTGCTCACATGATATTTACACTAAAGCTTCTAATTCATGTTTTGGCCATCACCTAGAGTGAGTGCCACAAAAATGAGACAGGTTCGTGAAGCAGCGACAGCGAGATGTTGTACATTTTAAAAAGCAAGCGTTGTGTTGCGTTGCAAGAGGTAAGGAAAGATAGCTCAAAAATAGGTTTCACTCACCAATTCTAAATGTGGGCTTTTGTCATTCCCACAGCAGATGCAATTATTGTTACAGGTGAGTTGGGAGTTCCTCTAACAGCCCATGAAGGGATCTTTTTTAACAGTGATGGTAAGCAGCTCAGTGTTTCCGCTATCCAACATACTTTGATCGCTGCAAAGAGGTCTGATTTTGAGAAAGCGTGAGCACCTACCTTTCGAAAGTCAGGCCTTTTTAAGGCCTCATACTTAGCAGAAAACAGACAAATTACTCTGCCAATGTTTAGCCCTATAATCTGAGGAAATGGACATCAGTAATGTAGTGTGCTTTATTCAGCTCAATTTCACATTCATTGTCTGATTAAGCAGCTATTAGACTACTGAGAGGACCAAGTGATGAGTAAGGTTAACTGATTAAGGGCAGAGTAGAGCCTTATAATTATGTAGTCCAACATCCTGTCTGCCACTGATGAGTACTGTTTCCCAAATGCAGCCACCAGGGAATTTTTCTGCAGCCACAACAGCCCCCAGGTGGAGATGAGCATGGGCAAAGCAGCAGCCCCTCCCTGCAGCACCCAGCTGTTGCTCCTGACTGCCTTGCTGTTTGTTGGCACCTCCAGCAGGGGCCCAGCAGCCTGCATCACATTGCCTCTGGGGGGACTCGAGGCAGCACCTCTCCAGACACACAGGGCCAGCGTGTGTGCTTAGTGGTTTCGGGCCATGACAACAGGGGGTCAGGTTTAGAAAAATATTCAGAGCAGCCACTAGTGAGGGTTATTGGCCACACTGAGGCCACCAAAAAAATAGTTCCAAGAACCCCTGCACTAGAGAACCTCACTTCATAAGGTTAACCAGAGACCGATAAATTTACTACCATCGGGTTAGTGAGAGTTTTGCGTTAAGTTTGACAGATATTTCTGTGCTGTAGAAACTACTGCAGCATATTTACCTGCTAGTTTAAAGCAGCTTTGTGGTCCTTACCCAGGGGTCTGGTTTTAGAGATTATCCGTATGTCCTAAAAATAGGAAGGGCCTCATAGCTTCCCTCTCACTCTAGTACAAGATCACACACAGAGAGAAGATTTTGCAGACAAATTGCAGCAGTTGTGCCAGTGAAACTATTTCCCTCACCTACTAGTCTTCCCCCAGCTGATTTTTTGAACCTATTTCTTCCCTTCAGCTACTCAGCTTAAGCCCCACATAGAAGACAGCATAGCTACAGTAGAGTGAGAAAAAAAAAAGATAACCCCCCCCCCAGGTTTTATTCTTAGACAAAAAAAAAAGTCAAGCAACAGATTTCAGCTCCACTATGGGTGCTAGTCTTCAGGACCAGCATGCAGCTGCTCCCGTCCAGGTTGTACTTGTCAAACCGGGACTCTCCTGTACCATTCTGGGGCACTCCCAGGTTGGTGAGGTGGTCTCCCAGCTGCTTGGTAGCCTTCACTTGCTCCTCCATTAGTGGGACTCCTAGAGTCACAGCTGCAGTAAAAGGAGAAACCCAGTCCAGCCCTTTTGCACTTCACAGTCATGATTAGACCAGGCCAATATTTTGCCACCTCGTTACTACAGAAGATAAAATGCCAAGGTTGGTTCTGCCTCAAGGTCTGGCCGCAGTAGCTAGTTTGAGGACTAATGAAAAAAGCCACTGGAAGTGATGAACAGCTGATAGCTTACTGCTCAGGCACCCTTGACCCAAGTCATGCAAAAAAATGGAGACAACTGGTACAGGAGTTGCTTCGTAAGTAGGTTGCTACATCTCGAAGGGACCTGGGCTCCTAGGTGGAGAGCAGAACCTGGGCCACTGCAGTGAGGGTTGAGAGAGAGAGAGAACCACATAACAGGTGAAAACTACAGCCCATGTATAACTGGGGCCAGAAAAAAAAACACTGGAACTTCAGCTCTAGAAATAGAACTGAGTGGGGTGGGAGGGAAGATCAGATCCTCCACACTGCAAACCTCTATGTTAGTAGCACATTGAGAATGGACCCAGTCTCCCCAGAAAGCAACATGTGTCTTCCTTTTGTCCATTTGTTTCCCCCTCCCTTCCCCAATATCAGGGTCTCTCTCACACACCCACACCCCTGCTGGGAAGTCAGAGGTTTCATCACACAATGCTAGAGGCTCACAAGACTCCTCCCTCTTTGATCCATCCCAGTGGAACTAGGAGTTCCCTTACACAGCACAGATAACAGTAGGGAACTTTAACTGCATAACCTTGCTTCTAGCTGCAAACACATCCAAGGCAGTGGTTCTCAAACTTACATTCCCCCCCCAGAAACCATACCTTATGGCCACCCAGCTCTGAAGGCAGTGCTGAGCCAGCCCAGGAGTAAGGGAGGCACTCTTTCACAGCAGGCTTGGCACCCTATTGCCACCCTTACTTCTGCACTGGTTCTGCCACCCCAAGTCTTGCCACCTACTGGTAAGTGATTGGGGTGGAAGAGCCATAGCCCAGGTGGCAGGGCTCTGGCTGTCCCCTTTATCCCTACTTCCCAGGGGTGTGCAGCCCCTCTGCATGAGCCCCAACCACCCAGAGCTCTTAGAATCATTGAGCTAAGGGGAACTCATGCTGTGATTTCACACCACCATCCCAAAGTCACTTCCTGGCAGACAGTTCCCTGCACCATTGCCCCATGGAGACACTGACCCATCATAGCTCTTCTACCACCAGTTCTTTAGTCTCAAAACACTAGACACACCACTACTCAGGAACATGCCTCAGTCATTTCCCCCCCCCCCTCACCTCACAAGAGGCCTGCTCTTCTTAGCAGAGTCACTACACATTAGCATTCATCCACTACAGCGTGTGTGGAGAAACCAGCCTGCATCCCCACTTTGAGTAATATCACATGAGCCAGGTTACACCAGAAAGCAGAGATTTTATTCTTGGTATTTAGGTAAGACAAGGCATCTATTTTCTGATCTATATCCAGAGTAATGCAGCTATGACATGATCTACACTATGGGTCAAGTCCCTAGTAGGGAGCTCAGCTGCTCTCCCCCAGGGTGTGCTTGTCAAACAGGTACTCTCCCATGCCATTCTGGGGTGCTCCCAGGCGCTTCAGGTTGGTGACATGGTCTCCCAGCTGCTTGATGGCCTTCACCTGCTCTTCCAGGTAGTCAGACTCCAAGAAGTCACATAACTGCAAAAGGAAAGGGACTCACTCCTGCTCCTATAGGCACAGCTGCCAAACTTAGAAGCTACAACAGTCTTCTAGTGGTTCTCAGGCCTGCCTATACTAGTCATGTGTTTAACTCAAGACTTCACCCATTGGTTAACTGGCCCTCATTTCATAAGTTTCTATTTCACCGATTTGACTTTTGAGGATGCTCAGTGGCTCAGTCACTGAGCAAGCAGACTTCTATATCAGAAGAAAGTATTAGGGCCAGCTCTTGTAGCAGCTCCAACTCTATAAGACTCAAAAGGGGCACGTCGAGTCCAGCAGAAGGGTAAAAATATTCCATGTGTCAGGGATGTATACCTGAAGGGTCAGAATGAGCATTTGTGCAAGTTCCTTCTTACCCACCCCTGCACACTCATCCATGGCCAGGTCTGAAGCCTCAGGGTAGGTCTCTTCCCCTCCCCGACAGCAATCTAACTAAAAGCAAAACTTTTGCAGGGGCAACTTAGCCTACTGATACACCCTGGTCAGTGGCCACACACCACATAGTTCCCATGTGGGAGCAGCCTGTTCTGGTGCCAACACAGGGATTGCTCCCAGGGAAGAGGCGGCTAACCAGACAGCTGTAGAAGAGTTAGCTGCAAAATAATCTCTTGCATTTCCTTTCTCATCTTTACCCTCTCCTGCCCTCCCACATTAGGATTTTTCAGTCTGCAATTAGGGGGGAGGGATAGTTCAGTGGTTTGAGCAGAGGCCTGTGAGTTCAATCCTTGAGGGGGTTATTTAGGAATCTGGGGCAAAAATTGGGGACAGGTCCTGCTTTGAGCAGGGGGTTAGACTAGATGACCTCCTGAGACCCCTTCCAACCCTGATATTCTATGATCTATCTTCTAAAATGCTGGTCCAGACAAACCTACTCTTCTGACACCATCAACCCACATAAACCAA